ACGCTGGCACTTGCGCCTGCGCAAAGCGCTTTGCGCGCGTACCAAGAACGCAATGCCAAAACCGCGTTGTCGTGCTCCCCGCGGAATGCTCGCATTCGCACACAACACGAAAGCCCCCCGTGATAGGGGGGTTGGGGGGAGAAACCCTAAACCCTAAAGGGCTTTACTGTGGGTGGTCTGGGGCGGGAGTGCAAGTTCATAGCGCGCGCGGCTTGGGCAGCGATCCCCCCCAACAAGCTTGATGTGGGGGGGATCGCAGCCAGCGCGCGCATGCGCCCCTGCAGGCCCAAAACCCTAAACCCTAAACCCTAAACCCTAAACCCTAAACCCTAAACCCTAAACCCTAAACCCTAAACCCTAAACCCTAAACCCTAAACCCTAAACCGAAAACCCTAAACCCTAAACCCTAAACCCTAAACCCTAAACCCTAAACCCTAAACCCTAAACCCTAAACCCTAAACCCTAAACCCTAAACCCTAAACCCTAAACCCTAAACTGCAAGCCACGGGCGGTGCATCGTCAGAAGACCGTGGCGCCTGGCCGAGCGATCAGCGAGTCCGCCCATGCGCGCACGCCGCACCGACGAAGCGCGTAGCGCTGAGGAGGATGCGCTCCCCCGCGGGGATGCCTCGTGTGTTCTGAGAGATGAATAGAACCCTTAACCCTAGGCCCAGCCAAAGGCTTCGCTACGATTGGTCCCATCCCCTGGGGCTCGAAACCTATGAAAATACAGCATGCGGCGCCCTTTCGGCCGTCCGTGGGGCCGCAAACCATATGAAAATACAGTATGCGGCGTCCTTTCGGCTGGCGCACGTCCCAGGCGCTCCCAAGCGCTCCCAGGCGCTCTCAGGCGCTCCCAGGCGCTCCCAAGCGCTTCCAAGCGCTTCCAAGCGTTCCCAGGCGCTCCCAGGCGCTCCCAGGCGCTCCCAAGCGTTCCCAGGCGCTCCCCAGCGCTCCCAAGCGTTCCCAGGCGCTCCCAGGCGCTCCCCGGCGCTCCCAAGCGTTCCCAAGCGCTCCCCAGCGCTCCCAAGCGTTCCCAAGCGCTCCCAAGCGCTCCCCGGCGCTTTCGGCACGCTCCCAAGCGCTCCCACGCGCATGGCGACTTCAGGCGCTCTCAGGCGCTCCCGGCACGCTCCCCGGCGCTCCCAGGCGCTCCCTGGCGCTCCCAAGCGCTCCCAGGTACTCCCAAGCGCTCCCTGCACGCTCCCAGTCGCTCCCAGCCTGCTCAGGCGCTCCCTGCTCGCTCCGAAGCGCTCCCTGGCGCCTCCGAGAGCTCCGGGGCGCTCCGAAGCACTCCCAGGCGCTCCGGCGCGCTGCCAGGCGCTCCCGGCACGCTCCCAGCTCCCACAGGTGGTCCCAAGCGCTCCCCAGCGTTCCCAAGCGCGTTTCAGCAGTCCAAGCGGTCCCATGGCGCCCCCAAGCGATTTCATGCATTCGCAAGCACTCGGCAGCGCTCCCTGGCGGCGCTTCCCGGCGCTCCCCCGCAATGCAGGTGCTGCCGCAGCCATGCGCGCGCATCGTAGCGAGGGGGTGCCAGACCCACCCCCTCGCGCTCCCTCTCCAGCCATGCGACATTCGCGCCGAAGGTGGCTGCGTCGACAATGCAATCGCTTCAGCGGGGGCGACGCCAACGGTCCTGCCCAATGGACAGCCCACGGCCCGCACTCGCGGTGCACTCTGCGTTCGCACGCTCCCAGACGCTCCCGCGTGCTTCCATCCTGGGGAAACCTCGAAGCGCTCTCTCAGCGCTCCCAGAGAGCTCTCCCAAGGCATTCCAAGAAGTCTGCCATGGAGGTGCTGCAGCAGCCATGCACGCGCATCGTAGCGAGGGGGTGCCAGACCCACCCCCTCGCGCTCCCCCTTCCAGCCATGCGAAATTCGCGCCGAAGGCGGCTGCGTCGACAATGCAATCGCTTCAGCGGGGGCGACGCCAACGGTCAAGCCCAACGGGCAATTCACGGCTCGCGCTCGCGGTGCACTCTGCGTGTCCTGTCGCGCTCCCAGACGCTCCCACGTGCTTCCATCCTGGGGAAAGGTCGAGGCGCTCCCCCAGCGCTCCCAGAGAGCTCCCCCAAGGCATTCCAGGGGGTCTGCCATGGACGTGCTGCCGCAGCCATGCGCGCGCATCGTAGCGAGGGGGTGCCAGACCCACCCCCTCGCGCTCCCCTCCCGCCTTCCGAAGCTCGCGTCGACAGCGTCTGCGTCGATGATTGCAATCGCTTCAGCGGGGGCGACCTCAAAGCAAAACACAAAGCCGCGGGCGAATGCAACTGCCGTGCGCGTCGCCGTCAGCGAGGGGCCCGACGGCGCGGCTACTCGCTCGAGGCCCACGGGGGCCCATGGGGTTGCCGCGCCAGCGCTCTCGCAGTGCTGCTTTCCAACGCCGAAGGCAAATGCGGACCCCTGTGGATGCGCTGCGCCAGCGGCAGCCGTCCACGACGGCGGCTGCAAGGGCAGCCAGGCCAACGGCAAAAGCCAATGCAGGGGCCCTACTGGAACCAGGGGCAATGCTGCGTCTGCGACAGGCCAACGCCGTAACTCAAAACCTAATGCGGCGACGCCTGGCCTTGAGGCCTCTCCTGTGCCTTCTGATGGCAATGAACACCCGCAGGAGAAGAATCCGTCCTTCGGCAAAGCCATGCGCCAACTGGGAGCCAGCCGAATGCAGCTAAACCCACGGCAAAAAAGTATTGGCCATGCGACGACGCTGGCGTCTGCGCCTGCGCAAAGCGCTTTGCGCGCGTACCAAGGCTCGCGCTCGCGGTGCACTCTGCGTGTCCTTTCGCGCTCCCAGACGCTCCCACGTGCTTCCAGCGCCCCCAGACGCTCCCACGTGCTTCCATCCTGGGGAAAGGTCGAGGCGCTCCCCCAGCGCTCCCAGGGAGCTCCCCCAAGGCATTCCAGGGGGTCTGCGATGGACGTGCTGCCGCAGCCATGCGCGCGCATCGTAGCGAGGGGGTGCCAGACCCACCCCCTCGCGCTCCTCCCCCCGCCTTCCGAAGCTCGCGTCGACAGCGTCTGCGTCGATGATTGCAATCGCTTCAGCGCGGGCGACCTCAAAGCAAAACCCAAAGCCGCGGGCGAATACAACTGCCGCGCGCGTCGCCTTCAGCGAGGAGCCCGACGGCGCGGCTACTCGCTCGAGGCCCGCGGGGGCCCATGGGATTGCAGCGCCAGCGCCCTCGCAGTGCTGCTTTCCAACGCCGAAGGCAAATGCGGACCCCTGGGGATCTGCTGCGCCAGCAGCAGCCGTCTACGACGGCGGCTGCAAGGGCAGCCAGGCCAACGGCAAAAGCCAAGGGCCTACCGGAACCAGGGGCAATGCTGCGTCTGCGACAGGCCAACGCCGTAACTCAAAACCTAATGCGGCGACGCCTGGCCTTGAGGCCTCTCCTGTGCCTTCTGATTGCAATGAACACCCGCAGGAGAAGAATCCGTCCTTCGGCAAAGCCATGCGCCAACTGGGAGCCAGCCGAATGCAGCTAAACCCACGGCAAAGATTGTTGGCCATGCGACGACGCTGGCTCTTGCGCCTGCGCAAAGCGCTTTGCGCGCGTACCAAGAACGCAATGCCAAAACCGCGTCGTCGTGCTCCCCGCGGAATATTCGCATTCGCACACAACACGAAAGCCCCCCTTGATAGGGGGGTTGGGGGGAGAAACCCTAAACCCTAAAGGGCTTTACTGTGGGTGGTCTGGGGCGGGAGTGCAAGTTCATAGCGCGCGCGGCTTGGGCAGCGATCCCCCCCAACAACCTTGATGTGGGGGGGATCGCAGCCAGCGCGCGCATGCGCCCCTGCAGGCCCTAAACCCTAAACCCTAAACCCTAAACCCTAAACCCTAAACCCTAATCCCTAATCCCCCTAATCCCTAACCTAAACCCTAAACCCTAAACCCTAAACCCTAAACCCTAAACCCTAAACCCTAAACCCTAAACCCTAAACCCTAAACCCTAAACCCTAAACCCTAAACCCTAAACCCTAAACCCTAAACCCTAAACCCTAAACCCTAAACCTAAACCCTAAACCCTAAACCCTAAACCCTAAACCCTAAACCCTAAACCCTAAACCCTAAACCCTAAACCCTAAACCCTAAACCCTAAACCCTAAACCCTAACCCCGAAGCCCTAAACCCTAAACCTCGCTCGCCTCGCGCGCAGACTGTTGGACGCAGGGGCCGTCGGCGGCGGAACTCTGAAAGTTTTGCGGGTGTGCGGGCGGGCAAAGCTTTCAGAGTCCCGCCCCCGACGGCCCCTACGTCCAACAGTCCGCGCGCTCGGCTCGCTCGCCCCGGACCCCTCCGGAAAGGGGGGGAGGGGGGTGGGGGGTTCCGAACCCCCCCCCCCTTCAAGGGGGGTGGGGGGGGGAGGGGTTCCACCCCCCCCCCCCCCCCTTTCAAAGGGAGGGGGGTGGGGGGGGGTTCCGAAACCCCCCCCCCCCTTAAGGGGGGAGGGGGGGGGGGGTTCTCGGTCCCCCCCCCCCCTGAAGGGGGGGGGGGGTTCCCTGGAGCACACCCCCCCTTTGTGTCTTCAAGGGGATCCACTGGCGCTTTTCATAATAATAATAAGAAGAAGAAGAGAAGGAAATAACGGAGGAGGAGGAGGGAGGGAAGGAAAGGAAAGGAAGAGAAGGAGTAGGAGGGGAAAGAGGAGGAGGTGGAAGAGCAGAAGGAGCAGGAGGAGGAGAAGATAGATAGGAGGAGGGGAGGAGGAGGAGGAGAGGAGGAGGTGGAAGGGCATGAAAACGAGAAGGAGGGAGGAGGAGGAGGGGAGGAGGGAGAGAGCACGATGATCGAGGAGGGAGGAGGAGGAGGAGGAAAGAAAGAGAAGAGGAGGAGGAGGACGACGAGGACGAGGAGCTCGACGAGGGGGAGGCGGCGGAGGAGGAGAAGGAGGAGGAGGAGGAGGAGAAGGAGGAGGAGGAGGAGGAGGAGAAGGAGCAGCAACAGCAGAGGGAGGAGGAGGAGGAGGAGGAGCAGCAGGAGGAGGAGGACGACGAGGAAGGGGCTGTCCGTTGTTATCGCGCGCTCCAACGGTGGGGCGATGTCAGAAGCGCCGGCACAAGCGACGGGTCCTCAGCGGCGCGGCGCCTACGCCGCAGACAGCTCGTCGTCGGCGGCCTGGTCCTCCGCCGCGCGCTGCTGCTTCTCCTTCCTCCTGTTTTCGATGATCTTCTGGGCCTCCTCGACCTGGCGCCTGAACGCCTCCTTGCGGGCTTCCGCCTTCTCCGCGTCGTCGGCCTTCTGCTTCGCCACGTCGG